CCACCCTCCACCCTATCCCACCGCACCCCACCCAATCCATTCCCCCCAACAGGAGGTGGTGCAGCGCGGCATCCCCATGGAGGAGGCCACAGACGCCCTGGTGAAGCTCATCAAGGACCACGGTCGCTGGGTGGAGCCCGCGCAGGAGGAGGAGGTGCTTGTTGCTGCATGAAGAAGCGTTGAAACCGTGCGCACCTTGTGACATGCTGGCGCCTTGACTGAGTGTTGGACGGCGGGCGGGGTGGAATTTTGACATCCTTGCGTTTGACCAGCTGCCAGCCCTGCGCTTGCGCTGTGTTTGGGTGGAGGTTTTGGAGGGAGGATGAGGAGTCTGAGTGTAGAGCGCAGGCTGCCTGCAAGGATGTAGAGAGTGGAAGGGAAAGGGGGTGATGTGACCCCACTGGCTAGCGCATGCTGTGTGCAGCCAGGATGGACCATGGTTGCGGGGTTGAGGGACATGGGAGATGTGGTTGTGTTCAGAGAGCCTTGTGTGTAACCTTTATGTTTTGCCTTGTTGCATTATTGTCCATACACCAACAACTACGGTACTGAAGACGCACAACAGGGGTAACATGCTGAACATAAGAAAAACAGAGTAACATGCATGAGATGCTGAAAATCAGGCGTTTGCACACAAGATTTAGTCTGGTTGAACCTGAGCAAAAGCCAGGCCCTGAGAAAGCCAATCCCTCCCTCCTAATCATGGGACAGGTATGATCTCACTGCAAAGCCATACGGTAATGTGAGGTTTCCATATAATAATGCACAGCGTTGAATTTTTGACTGTGTAGCTCTCAAGATCGGAAGTGTTGTTTCATTGATGGTGGTTGGGGTACAAGTAGCAAACCCTAACATACGTACCCCCAAAGACACATCTCACTACAGGCTACCAACATTTGACACACCCCCATAGCCTAAGTGAGGGGTGTCTAGCAAAACCAAAAGAGTACGGTCACAAGACCAGTCACAAAGAAACAAAGCTCAGGGTGGATCACAACGTCACCACAAACTCTGAGCACAAGCAACAATGGCCACAAGGCCAGTCCAAACAATAACAGAGATATATAGAAAGGGTACAAGCAAAGCAAGCAGTGAACTCAAGACTAAGTAAGCCGAAAACCAGTGTCAACAAGGCCTAACTGCACACAACACCTGTGGTGGTCACAAGGCGGAAGCGCCTTGGTGAAGATGTCTGCAGTGTTGGCCTCAGACTCCACAAACTCGAAGCGAGCCTGTCCACGCCTCTGCAACTCTCGCAGAAGAAAGTACCTGACGTTAATGTGCTTCACTCTGCTCTCCAGTCGCGGCTCTCGACAAAGGAGAATGGATGCCTTGTTGTCAGTGAACAAGGTCGGTGCAGAGCTCGGCCGCTCACCCAGGTCGGCGAGCAAGAACGTCAACCAACGCAGCTCCTGTGCCGCCATGGCACCAGCGTAGATCTCAGCCTCAGCTGTAGAGGTCGAGACCGAAGAGGAGCGCGTGGACCGCCAGGAAACAGCTCCAGAACCCAGACTGAAACAGTACCCCTGAGTAGACCTGTGAGTCTCAGCGTCGTCAGCGTAAGAGGAGTCACAGTGACCAGTAAGTACAACAGACTGCTGCCCTCCAAGAACTAGCCCCACGCCTGATGTCGTCGCTAGGTACTTCGCCACCCTCACAGCTGCTGTCCAGTGAACAGGACGGTGTCTCCCTGGCGCAACAAAGCGCGCAAGGATGCTGAGAGGGAAAGCGAGGTCCGGGCGAGTACAAGTCATCAGGTACATGAGGCAACCCACAAGCTCTGCGTAGGGACCACTAGGCTCAAACGGCTCGTCAGGAAAGGGGCCAGTGAGTCTGTGGTCAACAGCAAGAGGTGTGCGCTGTACTGTGGAGTGCTGAAGCTCGAACCGCTGAAGGACCTGCTGCACCATGTGTGACTGTGAGAGTGTAATGGTGCGAGCAGCTCTGTCCCTGGTGATCTGCAGCCCAAGGTAATGGCGCAGCTCACCAAGGTCAGTGCACGTGTGTCTCTTCTGCAGTTCGGACTTCACGTCTGCCAAAGCAACCCTGTCAGCAGTGGCGAAAACTAGGTCGTCGACGTAAACCAGAACGAAGAACGGTGTGGAGCCACGGCGAATGAACAGCGACGGGTCGGCAGAAGACGGCTGGAACCCAAGGTCAGAGAGGGTAGAGCGAAGAGTGTCGTGCCACTCACGAGGTGCCTGGCGAAGACCGTAGACAGGTCGCCTCAGCCTCCACTGGGTCCCAGGAGGGAAAGTGCCAGTGAAGGCAGAGGGACGACGCAGCCAGACCTCCTCGTGTAGGCTGCCCTGAAGAAAAGCAGTGGAGAAGTTGAGAGAGTGTAACTCGTAGTCTCTCTGTGCTGCTACGTGCAGTAACACCCGAAGAGTGGTCATCTTCGGGGTGGGCGCGAAGGTCTGAAAGAAGTCAACTCCCTCGCGCTGACTGAAACCTCTAGCAACGTAGCGCGCCTTGAAGACTGGAGGAGATCCTGGTGGCCGCTTCACCCTGTAGATCCACATGCCATCGACTACGTTCGTCCCAGGGGGAGGAACCTCATCGACGTAGGTGCCTGTGGATCTGTAGGAGGCCATCTCTGCGTCCATGGCAGCTCTCCACTGAGAGGCCCAAGGCCCTGACACTGCCTCAACGTAAGTGCGAGGAGTCGGAATGTCAAGGGCGTCAGGGTCACCCTCAGGGGTGAGGAGCATGGCACAGAGATGAGGGGAAGCGGCTGCCAGGAACTCTAGCTCAAACTGCCTGTCCTCTAGGACGTCACAGCCAAGGGCAGACACACCCCCGACGGCCAGAGGACTGGTAGGAGGAGCAGCCACAAGAGTGGTGGCGTAGTCAAGGCGGCGAGTAGAGGCAAACTCAGTGACCGCGGCAGTAAGAGCAGAGACAGAGGACAAAGAGGCACGAGGGTGGGTAACAAGAGAGGCGAGAACACGAGAGAGAACAGGACGGTACGTGCGGTAGTAGTCAGTGACAGGGGTAGAGAGAGAAGCTGTGAGGGCCGACTCAGGAGGAGAAGGAAGCACAGGAGGAGCCGAACGAGACGGACTAGAACGTAACAAGACAGTACGAAGGTCAGTGAAAGGAACAGGGGACGAGGGACGAGCACGAGGAGAGCGACGAGTAGCCCAAGTACGAGACGGAGGAGGAGAGGACAAAGGCGGAGAACTGGGGAAAACAGCGGGGGAGGAGTCAGGAGGAGGAAACGTGGGACCGTAGACAGGAGGAGAGGCGGGGGAGGGAGGAGAAGGAGAGGGGAGACCAAGGGTCCGAAGACCTGAGACAGGAGGAGGAAGTGGCTGCTGCTGCTGCTGCTGGTGCTGCTGCTGCTGCTGCGGCTGCGGCTGCTGCTGGGACTGCTGCTCCTGCGGCTCCAGCTGCTGCTGCTGCTGCTGCTGCTGCTGCTGCTGCTGCTGCTCCTCCAGCTGCTGTAACTCCCTCTCCTCTCTCTCCAACGCCAGCTGCTCCTCACGGGCACGGCGAACACGAGCCTGGTGCCTAGTCGGGTAGGGGTGGGGGGGCGGAGTAGTGTCCGGAGCAGCGGCAGCTCCAGAGTCCACCCCCGAAGGACCAGGCACACCACCCCCAGAGGCAGCACTAACACCAGCTCCAGACCCAGGCTCACCAGAACCTGAAGGAGGCGCACCCTCACCCCCAGACAGAGCACCCCCAGTGTCCGCGCGACCAGCACCAGCTCCCGGAAGACAAGAGTCCTCTGCACCCACCGGCTCAGCTCCAACTCCAGCACCCCCAGAACTAGAAACCGGTACTGGAACAGGCTCGGCACCAACCTCTCGAGAGCTAGCACCTGCGGCACGCTGCGAGGAGGACTGTGGGGAGGGAGGCTGTACCGGAGGGGCTACCGAAGGAGGAGGGGTAGCCTGGGACACACCTGACGGGGCTGGACCAGGGGGGGAGGCTGTACCGGGGGAGCAGGAGGGGGAGCGGCAGTCAGGAAGAGGGGGGGAGGAGGAACCGGGAGACCTCGACTGGGGTGCCTGACGAAGTACGGGGTGGACTCCTCGAAACGGACGTCACGGGAGTCAAAGAACCGGTGAGAGGGAGGGTGGTAAAAGGTGAAGTCAGAGGAGTCCTCAGGGAAACCAAGGAAGACACAGGGGACGGCGCGAGGCGAGAGCTTGTCCGCAGAGGTGTCGCGGACAAGAGCCAAGCAACCCCAGACACGAAACCTCGACGCAACACCAGGGGACCCGGTCCAAAGACTGGTCGGTGAAGCCTCTGGCCGAGAGACGCGTGGCCAGAGGTTCAGCTGGTGCGCGGCGTACCGAACCGCGTAAGGCCACAGAAAATGGGGGGCACGGGCGTGAGTCAGGGAGGTGCGGGCGATCTCCATGACCAAGCCTATGCGGCGCTCAGCAACCCCATTCTGCTGCGGGGACTCTGGAAGCGTCCAGGACTGACGAATGCCCTGCTCGCGACAGAATCCAGCGAGAATGCCGGAGCGAAACTCACCCCCGCGGTCAGAGTGAAGACAGCTGACACGACGACCACGAGTGTCCGCGGTGTTGAGCAACCACTTGATCAGCGTAGAAGTCACCTCAGACTTCTTCGCCAGGGGGAACACCGTGGTGTAGCGGGAGTAGTCGTCAACAACCACCAGAAAGAAACGCTCACGCTCAGGGCCAAGGCGAGAGGCGGGGCCCCAGACATCTAGGTGAAGCGTCTCAAACGGCTCGGTGGCCGGACGAAGGGAGGAGGAGTGAGGGGTGGCGCGCAGCCGACCCTCGACGCAAGGACCGCACGGTGGTGCAAGAGACGGCGGCAGCGACGGCAAGACACGCGGGAGGCCTAAGACCAGACGCTGACTAGACATAGCACGCAGACGTGGAAGAGAAGGGTGTCCCATCCGGTGGTGCCACAGAACGGTGGGGTGGGCAAGCGACCGACAGGAGCAAGACGCAGCGACTGGACTGGACGCGACAACCTGAGGGGACGGAACCACCTGGTGAGACGCAGGGAGGAGACTAGGGGGAGGGACAGGAACTGGGAGTAGGGGCTGCTGCGACGGCGGCCGCTGCGGCTGCTGCTGCTGCTGCTGCTGCTGCTGCTGCTGCTGCTGCTGCTGCTGCTGCTGCTGCTGCTGCTGCTGCTGCTGCTGCTGCTGCTGCTGCTGCTGCTGCTGTTGCTTCTGCTGCTGCTGCTGCTGCTGCTGCTGCTGCTGCTGCTGCTGCTGCTGCTGCTGCTGCTGCTGCTGCTGCTGCTGCTGCTGCTGCTGCTGCTGCTGCTGCTGCTGCTGCTGCTGCTGCTGCTGCTGCTGCTGCTGCTGCGTCCACTGCCGTGCGCGCGGGCCAGTGTGAAGAGTGTAGAGACCGGAACCCGGCTCAGCAGCAAAGGTGGCGAGAGGCTGGTAAGAGTCACCGTCAACACACACTGCAGTCTCCCCAGAAGGCTCAAACCACACACCCACGTGCTGACTCACGAGGGGTCGCACGCCCACCAAGTTCCGGGAGAACGAGGGGACATGAAACCCAGTGAGAGACCCGGAGGGGGCAGCAGGACACGGCAAAGTGGTAGTGTGACGTGCAGTGACTGGTCCCGAGGTGGGATCAGCCAGTGCCACAGAGACAGGCGCAGGAAGTGGCGTAAGTGTCGTGCTGTCACGAAAGAAGCAGTGCGAGGCTCCAGAGTCCAGCGTGAAAGACAGTGAAGTGTCCTCCGAGGTAGCCGCTGGACTAGTGTCTACACAAGAACCTACACTAGCAACAGGCAACTGAGCAAGGCTAGCACCTAAGCTAACAACACCAGAGTAAACAGAGTCAGAAACACTAGAGTCAACAACAGCATACATAGCATGAGGAGTTCCAATCAGATCAGCTAACTGCTCGGCAGACATGTCCCACAGAGCGGAACCGTAACGCTGAACAAGGGGGAACCAGTCAGGGGCAGGACCGCCAACCCCGTAAACCAAACGAACCGTGTCAGTGAGCTGAGCAAAACACTGACCAGGGGGGTGAAGGCGGCCACAAGGGTGGCCCCGGCGAGCACCTGTCAGAACCTGATAGGCGCAGGGAGGGTAAACAGCACCACGCTGCGGCTGACGCGGCCCCGACCCCGAAGCCAGCTGCGGCCGCTGCTGCTGCGGAGGCTGCTGGGAGGAGAGGGGCTGCTGCTGCTGCTGAAGCTGCTGCTGACGCTGGGCCCGGTACCACGCCGCTGCCCCACCCACCGGGGCTGGCAGTACAGGGGGCGACTGACGAACGCGGGCGTCGCCACCACCAGCAGTCGCAGTGGAGTCACCGGTCGCTGCACGAGACGTCTCTCCAGGCCCTGCACTCCCACCACCGCCAGTCGCAACGCCACCCCCACTACCTCCGCCTCCACCAACGCCGCCACCAGCACCGCCCCTCTTGCCACCCCTACCGCGGGACCGCGACGAAGTCGTAACAGCAGCTGCGGTCGCGTCAGTAGCGGCAGTGGCGAGAGAGGCAGTAAAGGTGGGCAACTGCGGAACTGTGCACCCGTGGAAGAGCGGAGGGGGCACAGCACCAGAGGCAGCGGCGACGGAGCGGAGGTTGCTCTCGACGTCCTTGAGTGCAGACTCAAGGACGTCAACAGTGAGCTCACTAGGGTGCTTCAGGAGAAGCGCGTCACGAACGGAGGCAAGGCGGTCGGGGAGGCTGGTGGCGATAAAATAGATAGTAATCGCCATGGGAGGAGGAAGCAGTGCGAGCTGGGCCTCAGTGCAAGCAGCGCGGTAACTAGAGTCGAGCGAGCGGAGGTGAGCAATCAAGTCAGCAGAGCGCTCAAAAGAGGCGAGATCAGGGAACAGGAACGGGAGGAAAAGGCGGCCAAGAGAGACAGCAGCAGGAGTGGAGTAGCGGGCCTTAATCGCAGTCAGGTACTCAGCAGCAGTGCGAACCTGAGCAAAGTGAGCCTCCTCAGACTCGGGGAGAAGGGTGCTGAGCGCGATGCAGGCCGCAGCGTCACGCGACGTCCAGGCTGTCAGGTCAGCGCGCTGGCTAGCGAAGCGAGCTCTAGCGGCGTCGTCAGGGGCAGGACCTAAAGGCGTAGGGTCGGGGGGCGCAGGGAGGGCACCAGCAGCGTGCGCCCAGAGGGTCTCGCCTGACTGGACCTGACTCTCCAACTGACGGCGAGCGCGCAGAAGCCAGAGCGAAAAGTCAAGGGGTCTACCGTCAGCGTCGAAGCGAAGAACACGCGGAGTCGCCATCGTTAAAACCGACGGAAAAGCGGAGGCAGGAAACCCTAAACGGGATGGCGTGGCGAAAATAGGGCGGGCAAAGGGCGAAGCGTGAAACCCTAAACGAGGTAGAGGCGTAGCTAAACGGGGGGGGGCGTTAAGGGGCAGCCGCACGGGGGCTAAGGGCAGCCGCGCGGGCATGGGGGCGGACGTTAAGGGGCAGCCGCGCGGGGGCTAAGGGCAGCCGCGCGGGCGCGGGGGCGGGCGTTAAGGGGGAGCCGCGCGGGGGCTAAGGGCAGTCGCGCGCGCGACGCGACGAGCAGCGAAGGCGGGCGCCGCGGCGACGGGCGCAGGCTGCGGGCGCGACGTCGGGCGCCGCGGCGGGCAGCGACGGCGGGCGCCGCGGCGACGGGCGCAGGCTGCGGCGGGCGACGGGGGAATGCGCAGCGGTGGCGCGCGTAAGGGGGGGACGGGCGACGGGACGACGGGCGGGGAGAGCGCGATTCGACGGGCAGCAAGGGGGGAAACGCGACTCGACGGGCAGCGGGGGGAAAAACGCGACTCGACGGGCAGCGGGGGGAAAAAACGCGACTCGACGGGCCTCGGAGGGGGGAAAACGCGATGGGCCAGCAGGGGGGAGGAAGGTCGCTACGCTACTCGAGTAGGGGATCGGCGGAACGGGCGGTAACGAAGGAACGGGACGAGAGCGGGCCGGCGCTAGGCTCGGGCAAGACGTGCGTAAGTAATACGAGAGAGGGAGACAGGCTCGGGCGATACGAACGAGGTCGGGAGGAACGGGATCCTACAGGATCCTAACCTAGGTGATACCATCTCAAGATCGGAAGTGTTGTTTCATTGATGGTGGTTGGGGTACAAGTAGCAAACCCTAACATACGTACCCCCAAAGACACATCTCACTACAGGCTACCAACATTTGACAGTTCGGTAGTGTGACTGGTATACAATATTGCAATCAATGAAAGGGAGTAGGCCTTCTTTTCTTCTGTCTTCTTTTTTATGTACGTAGCAAGCAATACAATTCAGTAAAACTTTTGATGGAATACGGTACAATCCAGTCTTCACACACCACTTACATGACCACGCCATATGCCTGTCAAACTATATGTGCTGCATATTGTCTAGGCTGTAGTGGGGTAGCCCATATGGGGTACAACCTAGTTAGGGTTTACTACTTGTACTCCTGCATCCTGTTAGTTCATCCATTCCTGCTGCTAGATTCTAACATGGTTTCAGAGCACTAAGGTCCGTAGGACCGTTTTTTTCGGGCCCACCTACCGCTGCGGTTACCGCGCTACCCCACGTAGCCTTGCCTTGCCTTGTATGCCTTGCCTTGCCTTGCCTTGCCTGCGCGCTGCCCCTAGAGGCCCGTAAGGCCCGCGCGCCGCCTCTACACGCCTGTCGGGCCCGCACACACGCTGCTACCGCGCGCTGCCCGCACCGAGATCGCGCAGCCCGCCCCGAGTCGCGCGCAGCCCGCTGCAGCCACGCGCAGCCCGCACCGAGCCGCGCGCAGCCCGCTGCAGCCGCGCGCAGCCTGCACCGAGCCGCGCACAGCCCGCTGCAACCGCGCGCAGCCCGCACCGAGCCGCGCGCAGCTCGCAGCTGCCGCGCGCAGCCCGCGCCGAGCCCGCGCAGCCCGCGTCGAGCCGCGCGCGGCCTGCTACGGCCTCGCGCAGCCCGCGCGCGGCCCGCAGCAGCTCGTGCCGAGCCGCGCGAGGCCTGCTCCTGCCTCGCACGCCCGCGCGCGGCCCGCCGAGCCCCGCGGCCCGAGCGCGGCCGCGCGCGGCCCTTTGCCTACCTGCCCTGATGCCGCCCGCAGCTGCATGTGTCAAACCTTTGTCTACTACCTGTTCCCCGACCCCCCTCACACTGTCGGACCTCATCACCGCACCAGACAGGCTCGCTTTCGCGCTGCCATGCCTGACGAGTTCCTCGCTAGCAACCCCCCCCCGCTCTGGATCACTCTCTACCACGTTGTCACCCGCCTCCCTGACTCTCTGCGCCCTGTCAGGGACCAGTTCCTCTCTCGCTCCCCCACTGAGCTCACCGTAGACCTCCTCGAGAAGGAACTGCTTGCAGCCGAGGCTAGTATCGTCGCTGTAGGCACCTCTCGTGGCGACCCCCGCGGCCCCTTCTTTGAGGGGTGCTCCCCTTCCCCCCTCCTCCCCTCTGTCGCCTCTGCTGCTACTGTCGACCTCCTTGGTGCTGAGAAGGTCGGGGCTGCGTCTGCTTCAGGCGGACGACGCAGGGGCAGGAGTGGCAGGAGTGGGGGTGGTGGCGGAGGAGGCGGGGGTGGAGGTGGTGGCGGTGGAGGTGCGACTGGAGAGGCTAGTGGCGGCAGTGGTGGAGGTGACAGCGGCGTTGGGAGTGGTGACAGGGGCGGAGGTGGCAGCGGAGGCGGAGGTGGTCGTGGCAGCGGCAGGGGTGGAGGTGGCCGGGGCGGAGGCGGAGGGGGTGGTGGTCGTGGAGGCCCGGGGGGCGGTCAGAGTCAGCAGCCTGCCCCGACCCTTCAGGCCGCCCGTGAGTGGTATGCGCGGCGCAGCGTCACCTGCCAGTACGTTATTCGTACAGGTGACCGCACTGGCCAGACGTGTGGGGGGCCGCACCAGACGGAGCGCTGCTTCGCCCGCCTCAACGATGCGTGGCGCACCCAGTTTCCTGGTGGGGGTGAGCTGCCGCGCTGGGCTGAGCTGCTCAGGAAGGGTGTTGATATTTGGGCACTAGACTTTGATGCTATTCTCACTGCCATGTATGCGATGTCTATTAGTGGAGAGGGTGCTCAGTACTTGCGTGTTCCGCCCGACCCGGGCATTCAGGCCAGCCCCGCTGCTGCTCTAGGTGCTAGTGTGTCTGCTTCCACAGGTACTACTGCAGCTGCTGCTCTAGGTGCTTGTGCGTCTGTGCCCCCTGGTACTGAGTCGACTGCAGCACTGCACACCTTCACACTGGACTCAGGTGCTTCTCGCTCTTTCTTTCGTGACCGCACTGTCCTTGAGCCTCTAGCTCGGCCGGTTGCTGTCTCTCTTGCTGACCCCTCTGGGGGTCCGGTCCTTGCGACCTCCTCCACCACCCTTCCGTGTCCAGCGGTTCCGTCCGGCACGCTCTCAGGTCTCTACCTCCCCTCGTTCTCCACGAACTTGGTGGCAGGTAGTGCGCTCCAGGACGGGGGTGTTCACCAGTTCACCCCTGCCTACGAGCGTGTGACTCACTGCACGTGTGCTCGGACGGGCCGCCACCTAGCTACTTTCACTCGAGAGCCGGGGTCTGACCTGTACACACTGACCACTGAGTCCCCTCAGGTAGCTGCGTCTGCGTCAGCGTCAGGTCAGCTGTCCGCCCCCTGCTCGTGTCGCTCTCTGGCGAACGACACCGTCCTCTGGCACCACCGCCTTGGTCACCCGTCTGTGCAGCGCCTGCGGGCCATGCACAAACGGGACCTTGTTGCTGGTCTTCCCAGGGTGCTCCCTCCCCTTCCTGACTCCCCTGCTCCTGACTGCATTCCCTGTGTCGAGGGGCGGCAGCGCGCCGCTCCTCACTCCTCCTCCTTTCCCCCGACGACCGCTCCCCTGCAGACGCTCCACATGGACGTGTGGGGCCCAGCCCACGTCCGTGGTCAGGGTCAGGAGAGATACTT